CATATATGAATATTTGAAAACTGTCAAACCTGGACCCCTCACCCCCGCACCGGCACCCCCACTGCCACCTTCTAATCCCAAACATGTCATCTCTCAGTGGGTAAGCTGTTTCAAAAGCTTTGGGTTATTATTTTTTTTGTTTCTTCCATTCTTTTCCTTTAGTGCTTATCTGTTGGAGAATTCCTAGGGAACTTTGAAGTGTCATCAGTATTTCTCAGTTAGAATGAGCTATGTCCTAACATTTCATGGAGGTTCAGGACCATGGACAGATCATGTGTGCTACCTGTCTCAGTCTCACCCAAGTATTTCAGCAGGTTAAAATATTCTCCTGAAGTCTCTACTAGCATCATTCTTTTCCTTATAAGTTGAACTCCTCCCTATTTTTATCAGTCATCTTACAGCCAGGTCTTGCCTCTGTAAAGTTTTTTAATCTTTATTTATTTATTTTAAAATTTTTGATGGATTCTCCTTTTGTTGCTCAGGCTGGATTGCAGTGGTGCAGTCTGGCTCACTGCAACTTCTGCCTCCCGGGTTCAAGCAGTTCTTCTGCCTCAACCTCCCTAGTAGCTGAGATTACAGGGATGCACCACTATGCCCAGCTAAGTTTTTTATTTTTAGTAGCTATGGGATTTCACCATGTTGGCCAGCCTGGTCTCAAACTCCTGACCTCAGGTGAACCACCCGCCTTGGCCTCCCAAACTGCTGGGATTACAGGCATCAGCTACTGTGCCCAGCCCTTCTTTGAAGTTTTTATCTCATTTATTAATAAAATACTTATCTTGTCAATACCTTTGAGTTAGTAAATAGTTTAGTCTCCATAAAGAAATGGAGAACTAGATAGGTTAAGTAACTTATTTAATGATGGAGTCAGGTTTTGCAGTCAAGTTTTTCTGACTCTGAAACCAGATCTCAATTACTTGCTATGCTTCATAAAAACATTATTCTGTTCATTATACTGTTGGTTTATGACTTTAAAAATGTGTTTTAAAATTTATAATTTATTTTTGAATTTACAGGGCCAGGCATAGTAGCTCACATCTGTAATACCAGCTACTAGAGAGAGGCTGAGGCAGAGGGTCATTTGAGGCCAGGAGTTTGAGACTAGCCTGAGCAACATTTTGAGATCCCAACTCTAAAACAAAAAACACCTTACACATTTGCCCAATTTTCTATTATAGTGTTCTTTTATTTCTTACTATATTGCAAAAGCTCCTTGAATTTTAGGGATAGCAACCCTCTGACCATCATAGATGACAGATATATCCACCATTTGTATTTTTTCTTTTGAGCTTAGAGTATTTTTTTTTTTTTTGAGGTAGAGTCTTGCTCTGTCGCCAGGCACTGGGCTGGAGTGCAGTGGCGCCATCTTTGCTCACTGCACCCTCTGCCTCCTGGGTTCAAGCAGTGCTCCTGCCTCAGTCTCCCGAGTAGTTGGAACTACTGGTGCGTGCCACTATGCCCAGCTAATTTTTGTATTTTTTAGTAGAGTCAGGGTTTCACCATGTTGGCCTGGATGGTGTTGATTGCTTCACCTCGTGATCCACCCGCCTCGGCCTCCCAAAGTGCTGCGATTACAGGTGTGAGCCACTGCGCCCAGCCATATTTGTTCTTTTGAACTTAGAGTATTTTTAAAAATATAACTTTAGTACATAATAAAACTGTAACTTTTATTTAGTTAAATCTTTTCTGTTAGGGTTTTTCTTTTGGCATTCTGATTAGAAAACTTCTTCCCCATCCAAAGAACATAAAAATATCCAATTCTGATATATCTGTGGTATATATAGGTTACTTCTTAGATTGTCTATATTTGAACTGATAATTTTAGGACACACTTTAATAGCTGGTAGAGTAAGGACCTTATTATTTCTTTTAAAATGTTTTCTTGGCTTTTCTTCTACATTTATTCTTATAGGTGACCTTAGAATTATCTTTTTTTTGAGACGGAGTTTTGCTCTTGTTACCCAGGCTGGAGGGCAATGGCGTGATCTCGGCTCACCGCAACCTCAGCCTCCTGGGTTCAGGCAATTCTCCTGCCTCAGCCTCCTGATTAGCTGGGATTACAGGCACGCACCACCACGCCCAGCTAATTTTTTCTATTTTTAATAGAGATGGGGTTTCACCATGTTGACCAGGATGGTCTTGATCTCTTAACCTCATGATCCACCCGCTTCGGCCTCCCAAAGTGCTGGGATTACAGGCTTGAGCCACTGCGTCCGGCCAGAATTATCTTAAATTCTCTTTCTTTCTCCAAAATCTAACTTGGAAGAATTAAGGTAAAGTGGCCAAATTTTGCTTTTCACTTTTGTTGTATTTTAAACGTACAAAATAGTAAGAAACATTAATTTATAATAGTGTTTTTACAAGCTGGATAGAAATAAATTTACGTAGTACCTACATTGATTTTTTTCCTTGTAATTTATCTTTTAGGAAACTACTATGTAAAATTTATTGTGAACCAGTTGTTGATTTATACATTATTAATGGTTCAAAAACTGAGGATGCTTGAAAGAAGGCTTATAATGAGATTAAATTGTTGCCATGGGAAGATTGTCTAGGTAACTACCCAGAATGTTTCCCCTTTCTAGTACAGTAGCTGAAATTGAATAGATGCTCAGTAAAGGGTTAAATATGTGAAGAGTTAAAAGAATGAGTTTTTTTGTGTGAATTTACTAGGCTTTCAATTTCAGCCTTAAAGAATTGATTAGAATACAAGTATATTCAGTAATCTTATTTATAGGAGGCAAAGTAGATGAACTAGAATGCCAGTTAGCAATTTACAGTAAAGAATGTATCTATTAGCTATCAGAACCATTTATATCATTCTCACCACTGCTTTTCTTTTTCTACAAGAAAGTTTACTTGAAGAATGAAACTCATATAAGGATAGCTACTTTAATGAATTTAAGTTCTGATAGCATATGATAGGAATGATGTGCCAAGTAGATTAGTATTTTTGCCCTGTGTTAAACATATCCCTCTACTGTGCACGAAGGACTGCCACCCAAGTTTCTCACTCACAGATACTCTCTGCTGATAATATCTGCTTCCTGGTCATGCATTTCCGTTAGTTGTGTCATTAGTTCATCATTAGATCTTGTTGTGATTTAGGCATAATCATTTAAAAGAAAATACACAAGTTGTACATGAATATGTGGTTATTTTGTGAATATATGGTTATTTTGTTTCTTTAAAAAGCAGTATACAGGTACACGCCACTACCACTCAGCTAATTTTTGTATTTTTAGTAGAGTTGGGGTTTCACCATGTTGGCCAGGACCTCAAATGATCCACCTGCCCTGGCCTCCCAAAGTTTTGGGATTACAGGTGTGAACCACCATATCCAGCCTATAATGAACGTTTATTGAACCATTTTATGTACCAGATATCACATTACATATTGTGTATTCTTATTTAATGAAAAACCCATTTTTGACCCATTAAGGGACTCAAACGGGTACTTCCATGCCAGCATTCAAAGCACTGGCGTGTAATAGCCACTCACAATAGCCAAAAATGTAAACACCCCAGGTCTTCATTAACTGGATAAATGGATAAAATGAATGTGGCATAAGAATGCAATGGAGTATTGTTTAGCCATAAGAAGAATGAAATTCTGACACATGCTGTGCAATATCACTGAACATTGAAAACATGCCTAGTGACATAAACCAGACATATATGATTCTACTTATATGCAGTATGTAGAACAGGCAAATTTATAGAGACAGAATATAGATTAGTGGTTACCAGGCATAGGATGTGGTGGTGGGCCTGGGAGGGGATGGGGAATTATTGCTTACTGTTTACAGAGTTACTGTTTGGGGTTATGAAGTTTTAGAAATAGTGGTAAGTTTATGCAACATTGAATGTAAGTAATGTCACTGATGTACACTTAACAATAAAGTGGCGTATTTTGTTATATATATTTTTCCACAAAATAAAAGTTAAAAAAAATCCAGACAACTCATGACTTAGGTTCTGCTGTTAAGTGAGGTTTAGAAGAAATAAGTAACTAGTATAAGTCCATGTAGCTAAGTGACAAGCATCTAGACTTGACTCAGGTTTGTCTGGATCCCAGATTTTGTACTTTTAATTAGGTCGTTCTCTGCTTTCAGAAATAAAAGTGGAGGCGCCTTCTTTCCTATTCCTTATTTCCATTCTTTGGCACAGAAATTACCTCCGATTCTTTGCTTAATTGTTTGACATGTATCCTTTTCCTGTACATTCACTTAAGTATTTGTGTACATAAACAAATGTGTACAGGTTTTTCTTTAATTTACATAAATGGCATAATTGTTAACATTATTTATGTGAATGCTTTTTTTACAGTATGCATTAGAGAAGCTTTTGTTAATTCATGTAGGTCTACTTCATCTTATTTGCCACATATATTACATGGTATAGATGAAATATATATATATGTATAGTGTTCATGGCACGGTTGTCCTGTAATTTATATACCATTTTGGTATTTCCTAGGTAGTTTCCAGTTTTCCATTCCAACATACAATATTTCAGGGCTTGTACATATGCTCAGAAGTGAATTTTTTGGGCAAAAGGAATGTACATATAAAATATTTAAAGTTACTGCAATATAATATTTCTTCCCCCACAAAGGATACCAGTTTAAACTTCTAACACCGGGATATGAGAGTCCTTGTTTCCTAGGAACAGAATATTGTCAGTCTTTTTTGCCTATCCCATGGTCAATAGTTGATACTTTTTACATTAGTATAAAAATCTCTAATTTACTTCCAGATGTTAGACATTTTCCATATGATTTTCTTTTTTAATTGCCAATGCCTGTTTTTCTAATATTAATATTAGTGATTTATAGAAAACTGTATGTTCTATGTGTTAATTTTTTGTTATGTAAATATTTGTTGCAAATATATTTTTCCAGTGTCGTTTTATTTTTCTTAAACTTTGTTCATGTTATCTTTTACCTTATAGGAAACTTAAGTTTTTATATAGGTAAATCTTTTTATTAATACTTCTGGCCATAAGACTTTGGGTTGCTAAAACAGCTTTTTGCATTTCAATATTATGCAAATATGCTCCATTATTTTTCCTAATATTACTATAGATTAAGAAAAACTTCTTTATGGCATTATATATTGAGTTATGTGAGTTATGAATTAGTTTTTTTCCAAATAGTTAATCTTTCCCCCATTTAAAATATCTATATCTGAGCCCGTTTCTGCTTCATTGTTCTATTGATTCAGGGGTCAGTAGACTGACACATGAGACAAATCTAACTTACTGCCTTGTTTTTGTAAATAAAGATTTTTTGGAACATAGCCCCACCCATTTGTTTACATATTGTTTTTTTAGTTTTGATTTTACAAGGGCTGAGTTGAGTCATTGGCACAGAGACTAAAGAGCTCACAAAGCCTAAAATATTTACCGTGGCCTTTATGGAAGAAGTTTGCCAACCCCTGAATTAGTCTCTTTCCTAATTTCAGACTTTTTAAAAATAAAAGTATAAATATGGTGTGCACACAGTGGCTCATGCCTGTAATACCAGCACTTTGGGAGGCCAAGGTAGGCAGATTACTCGAGCCCAGGCGTTTGAGACCAGCCTGGGCAATGTGGTAAAACCCTGTCTCTACAAAAAATACAAAATGTAGCCAGGTGTAGTGGCATGTGCCTTTGGTCCTAGCTACTTCAGAGGCTGAGGTGAGAAGATCGCTTGAGCCCAGGAGGTTGAGGTTGCCGTGAGCTGTGATCACACCAGTGCACTCCAGCCTGAGTGACAGAGCAAGACCCTGTCTTAAAAATACACACACACACACACACACACACACACACGAGTGTACACTCACAGATACAAAATACACATATAAATATGTATTAATGGGTATGTCTGTCTCTTTCCCCATATCACACTGTTTTATTTATTATTTATTATGTTATATTTATATACACCCTGGTGGGGGATGGGTCTTTCCTACGAGATATCAAAACTAATAAATTATAGTAAAAATAGAGTCTGGTATTGGTGAAGAAACTGACTAATACAGAATTGGCAAACTTTCTGTAATGGCTACAGTAAATATTTTTGGCTTTGTGAGCTGCATAGTCTCTGTGCCAACTATTCAACTCAGCCCTTATGTCATGAAAGCTATTGAAAGCAACACATAAACAAATGGATGGGGCTGTGTTCCAATAAAAACACCTGCGTTTTAAAATTTTTTCTTGATTATTCTGCATTTCCTTTTGCATCTGAACTTCAGAAACAATTGTTAACTTCAAGTATCACATTAGGATTTCTCTTAAGAAAAACTTAAAAAAAATGTTACTTTTCAGAGATTAGATACATTTTGCCTACAGTTTTGCCAATTTGACATACTTGATTAATCAGTACTAGCTTCAGTGCCTGGGACGTGGTAGGTGTACAATACATGAATAATACAATTCATGCTATTAGTATGAATGGCCCAAGATTCTTTTTACCATATCTTTTGCTTGGTGATATGGCTTGGCTCTGTGTCCCCACCCAAATCTCATTTCGAATTGTCATCATCTCCGGGTGTTGAGGGAGGGGCCTGGTAGGAGGTGATTGTATCATGGGGGACTGTTCCCCCATACTGTTCTTGTGATAGTGAGGGAGTTCTCATGACATCTGATGGTTTTAAAAGTGGCAGTTTCTCCTGCACTTGCTTGCTCTCCCGCTGCCTTGTGAAGAAGGTGTCTGCTTCCCTTTCACCTTCTGCTATGATTATAAGTTTTCTGAAGCTTCCCCAGCTGTGTGGAACTGTGAGTCAATTAAACTGCTTTCGTTTATAAATTGCCAAGTCTCAGGTAGTGTCTTTATAGCAGTGTGAAAACAGACTAATGTCCTGGAGAATCGCCTGTCTGATAGGTATAGATATTCATTAATAGGTTTCTGTGGCCTTTTAGCTGATGGCATCTATTCGAGTTGCATAGACGACAGATGGTAATAGATTAGATTGCACATTTTTTAAATGATTAAGGGTCAGCAAATATTTCTAAAACATTAAAATATTATAATACTATTCCTTCTCTCCCTCACAGGCCTTCTAGTAGATGATCTTGTCTAAGTTTTAGGAGACCATTGGATTCCCAAAGTGATTTTATTGTGTAGAATTATGTATTCTGTATGTATTTTAGCAACTGATTAGAACGAAAATGGATATAGTATAGATTTCATTCATGAATTATTTGTCATTCAACACTAAATGCGAATTGTTGGCTGAAGGAGCTTACATAAACAAAATCTATTTTGTTATAAAAATGTATAAATTAAGAATTTTCTTAGTAGGACCAAACTTGATGTGATACATTAGAGTAACTTAACTTTTCTTTTGTAATCGTGTAATATCCTTCTATGGACATTTAAAGTTTTACTTCTTTATGCCTTCCCCAGCAACTTTAACATTTTCCTGCTCTTTCTGATCTCATGCTAAAGCCTGTATACTAGATGGTCTGGTTGTGAATCCTAGTTCTTTCATTTATTTGAGTATTTAAGGGCCAGAAAAATTGTCAGAAATTAGTTTAAAAACATAAATAAGGCCAGGCACAGTAGCTCACACCTGTAATCCCACCACTTTGGGAGACTGAGGTGGGTGGATCACCTTAAGTTGGGAATTTGAGACCAGCCTGATCAACATGGAGAAACCCTGTCTCTTCCACAAATGCAAAATTAGCCAGGTGTGGTGGCGCATGCCTGTAATCTTGGCTACTCAGGAGGCTGAGGCAGGAAAATCACTTGAACTTGGTAGGTGGAAGTTGCAGTGAGCTGAGATTGTGCCATTAAATTCTTTTGTTTTCTCATTTAAAATGAAGCTAGTAATGCTACCTATCTTCTTACTTTGTTGTGAGTCTTGGACAAGTTGGTATGCAAAACATAAAATGCCAAACTTGTCAAATGGAATTTGTCCGAAGATTATGAATTCTATTCTGATAGCCTAATTGGGAAAAAGTGCCACAAACATGTGTAGTTTCAGTTTACAGATGTGGAGTTGAGTTATAGACTAGTGAGCAAAATTTCCAGGTAAGATTATTTTTCCACTGGAAAGAATTATATTTGACTTTATGCTTAATATTTTAACAGCATTTGCTTGGCCATAACAGAGAATACAACTAACAGTGACCAAAAACACAAGAACATTTATTATTAAATAAGAAGTATTGAGGCAGGCAATCCCGGAGTTGGTTCTCTGGCTCAGCAGTGTCAGAGTATTAGATTGGCAGGCCTCTGAAGCTCTCCTGTTTTTCCTTTCATGGTGCAAGGCAGCTCTGAAAACAGAATATCATTATAGTAATATCTAGAGTAGAAAGAGCATTTGAGAAAGGGCTTCCTTTTTGTTCTTCTTGCTCATTAAGGAAAAGACCTTTCCTAGAATCTCTCAGGCCCTTTCTATTATTGGTCAAAATAATATAAAGCAACTTTCTCACAGATGCCTGACCAAACAATGGAAAAGGGGAAAGGGCTTACCATGACTGGCATATACCAATTATAATTCATCATCTGAGGTAAAACAAATTGCCACTACGCAGAAATAGGCTCTGTCAGTGAGGAAGAAGGGAAGAACAGTCTTTAGGGAACTAGGCAGTCTGCCACATTACAATATTCATTTGTTTAAAAGTAACTTACAAAGTAACAGGGTTTAAAGTAGTGAACAAAGTGGACTTAATCCCCTGAATTCTTGAGGATTTTTTTTTCTTTTTCTGTTTAAGAGATTTCATTTTTGTTGGGATGTTATTAGGCATTTTCTTGTCTCCTGAATGTTTGTAAGTGTTAGAGCTCAAAGGGGGACCTTCTTTGGACATCAGTTTTAAAAAAAAAATTCCTTGGAAGAAAGGCATTCACTTAAAAATGTTTTATTCTTACAATTATGTATAAGTATTTCTAGTTTCAGAGAGAAGGAGAAACGGGGTTCTAAAGGATAATATACCCAAGATCAAATAGATGGGAGGTTCTGATTGTAATATAATTTTTGAATCTTTTTAATGTCCTATGTACTGTACTTACTACTATGCACAAATTGTTTTATTAAATCCATATGACCCTGTGAGGGTTATGAGGTATAGGTACCTGTACAGGTAGGGAAATTAAGCCTTTTGTGTTTAAATAACTTCTCAACGTCTCAGAGCTACTCAGCAGCAATCAAACCAACACCTCAGGGCTGATAGATGCCGAAGTGTGCAGTTTTTGCATGCCTTGGTGTTTGTGCAGCCAGTCGTTTTTCCACTATGGAAGTGGTTCCTGGGATCTTAGTACAAAACGTGTTAAATTTTCTGTTAAATTTTGGTACTGTTAGTTTTACCTTGGATATAATGCAGTGCAGGATTTTTTTCCTACCATGTCCGTGAAGCCAAATCTTCAGTGTGATGACAGAAATTGCAGGAAGCAGCAGGAGTATAAGAAAAAGGTAGCAGGATTGCCCAAACAAGAGGTTATATGAGAAGAGGAAGAGATAATCCATGAAGATGAGTGGGGTAATTAGCTGGTATCTGAGGTTACAGAAGAAGAGTTGAACAGTTCTTCAGGTCCAGTTCCAGACTTATCTGAAGGAATTACAGTGACATACACAATTCCAAAAATGCAAGAAGATTCTGTCACTGAGGTAACAGTGGAAGATTCTGGTGAAATCTTGGAAGACCTCATGGCCAAGATGAAGAATATGTAGATAATGAACTGGCATATATTTTATTTCTTATGTTAAAGCCTCTTCCCTTGAAATTAAGAACACATTTTAAAAACTGATAAAACTTAGGGCAACATTAATTAATGTATACTCTTAACTGAATTGTTACACTTTTTGAAAATTCTGTGACTTGTTTCTCCCCATTTTAACTAAATCATTAACTCTCCTAAAATATATGTTTTATTCTAGTAAAAAACCTTCAAAGGATACTGTAGGGTATAAATCTTATTTGAAAACATAGCCATTGAAATGTTTTGACCTTTTGGAGTTGGGGAATGATGAATCTCACCCTGTAGTCTTTTTCTTTTCAGTAATCCCTTGTGTCTGTTGTATGAGGACACGGACATTAAAGCAGTACATGATCCTCAGATACAAGGAGAAGGACAAGGCTTATAGCTTATTGATTAGGGCTGGCACGCATCTGCTTATTATGTTTGGAATTGCTTTCTATAAGAAAATTGCCCAGTACTACTAACTTGACCAACAGGGAATTTAAAATAGTTAACCTATGAAATAACATTCTCTCAAATGTTTGCTGATGAAATACAAGTTGAAATGTATTCATTGAAAAAGTCTGTAAACCTGTGGATTATGTATTCAGAATAAGACAAAGGCAAATAAAAAGCAACTATCTTCATGAATAGACAAAGTTGCTTTCAGGAAGTATAAATTATATTCTGTACTGACTAACCAAGGAATAGAAATTATTACATTTGTAGAACATGTATCTGGAGTTACTATACTTTATTGAAGAGGAAGGCATAAATTTAGACCAAGATCTAGCCATATTACACTAATTATTTAGGCTACTCCTGGATATTTCATTTAAATTTGATTCTTGAGGTAGTGAGATGTCGCAAGGTTTATCTTGTATAGTGGGCATAAAAGTTTTAAATTGCCTCTGCAATGAGTTTTAGTCAGTGGGGGAGAGTATCAATTTCTCTGATTGTGGCTACTAAACCGTAAATCGATATAAATTAACTTTCTCTGGAGTTGCACACAAATAATGAAGACTTAAGAGAACCTTGGTTGAAATAAATTTCCAGTTGTTTGCAGACTAATACCATGCAGGTATAACCATTAAAAAATTATTGTGTAAACTACAATATTTTAACTTTTCTGTGTTAGAAAGTGATTTTTTTTTTTTTTTTTTTTGAGGCAGAGTCTCACTCTGTCATCCAGGCTGGAGTGCAGTGGCGCGATCTTGGCTTGCTGCAGCCTCACCTCCTAGGTTCAAGTGATTGTTTTGCCTCACCCTTCCGAGTAGCTGGGATTACAGGTGTGTGCCACCATGCCTGGCTAATTTTTGTATTTTTAGTAGAGACAGCATTTCATCATGTTGGCCAGGCTGGTCTTGAACTCCTGACCTCAAGTGATCTGCCCACCTGGGCCTCCCAAAGTGTTGGGATTACAGGCATGAGCCACTACACCTGGCCAAAAGTGATTTGATGAAAATTGTTAAAAATCTGTAGCTGCTTTGTTACCTTCATTAACTCTATGTGATTAAAGTCACAAGTTTGTTGCAGTAATGAGAATGTGTTAGGTTAATGTTTAGGTGAGTTATATTTTAAAATCTGTGTAGTGTATTTATAGTTCACTTGGTAATTAGAACACTGTACTCCTTATTCTTCAAGTGTGTCATAGGAGGTAGAGTTTATTGATGCTGGGATTGTGGATGTGAAAATAACATTCTCAGGATATTCTATGACTTAAAAGGCTGATTTAAAACCAGGTGATATTTTCTGTGATTGTATATAATTTGGTTTATATTTATACTTAATAATAAGTGCCAGAATACATGGCTATATACTTAGTATCCTTTAGGACATTATTTTGTAGTCAAAGTTTTTGAGGTATCTAGCAATATTTTACATGATATATAAAATTTGAAGTAAATGTGCTTTTTCTTGGGAGGAATTCATAGCTTTATACTATATTCTTGAAAAGGGGAATGATTCTCCCCCATACTTTTCTCATTTTTGAATTATTGCTTCAGAGTATTTTTTTTTTTTTTGAAACGGAGTCCGGCTCTTGTTGCCCAGGCTGGAGTGCAATGGCATGATCTTGGCTCACCACAACCTCTACCTCCTGGGTTCAAGTGATTCTCCTGCCTCAGCCTCCTGAGTAGCTGGCACTACAGGCACACGCCACTACACCCAGCTAATTTTTTTTTTTTTTTTTTTGGTATTTTTAGTAGTAACGGGGTTTCACATGTTGGCCAGGCTAGTCTCAAACTCCTGACCTCAGGCCCTCAGGCGTTCCACCCTTCTCGGCCTCTGAAAGTGCTGGGATTACAGGCATGAGCCACCGTTGCTTCAGAGTCGTCCCCCGCCCACCCCCCCCACCTCCCCCCGTCGGAGTTTTGCACTTATTACCCAGGCTGGAGTGCAATGGCATGATCTCGGCTCACCGCAATCTCTGCCTCCTGGGTTCAAGCAATTCTCCTACCTCAGCCTCCTGAGTAGCTGGGACTACAGGCTGCACCACCATGCCCAGCTAAGTTTTGTATTTTTAGTAGAGACGGGGTTTCACCATGTTGACCAGGATGGTCTCCATCTCTTGACCTAGTGATCCACCCGCCTCGGCCTCCCAAAGTGCTGGGATTATAGGTGTGAGCCACTGTGCCCGGCCAGAGTATTTTTTTTAAAAAAGGTTTGAGTACTTACAACAGCATAGAAAAGTAAATTGGTTACTTAAACATTTATTATTTTGTCCTATATGCATATGCTAATATAACATTACATTTCAGTGGCAGTATATTTTATTTCTTGGAGTTTTATTTGGTTAATTTTCAAATCTCTGTTCTTTCCTTATCATGTGTATTTCCTCTATCTCTTGAATCATTTTTACCTACTTATTTTATGGTATTTTTCAGATTGCATTATTCTCTTGATTTCTTGGGGGTCCTATTCTTCCCGTTAGTTTGATTGCCAACTTTCCTCATTTTGGTGTTCTGTTTCCTCATTTAGTTTAATTTTTTTTTTTTTTTTTTTAGTTGTAAGCTCACTTTTGACTGAGGTAGATTTTTCTGGGATGAGTTCTATTCCCTCTGAATGCTTTTGCTTCTGTGGGATAGGAACTAGATTTGATATTAATTTTTTTGCCAAAGGATTTCTTTAGCACATGGGCAGTATGGATTCAGACTCCAAACCCTCATGTTTTCCCCTTATGATGCCCCCCTCCACCCAGTACCCTAGGTGGCTTCACTGGACCAAGAATCAGAATTTTTATTATTCCTTGACATGGAGAAAAAGGGTCCTGGTTTTAATCAGAGGTAACCATTCCAATCCTTCACCTCTGTTAAGCCACCAGCAATACCTTCCTAACAGGATGAATACCTGTTAGGGCCTATGTCCAAGACTTTTGCTTTTGCAGCATCTATTCCTGTGTTTAAAGTTTTGATTAGGTTTCTTTATTTCTAATTCTTGGGGATTTTTCTTCCTTTTCTCTCTCCTTCATTAGGTTTGATTGTAGATTTAAAATTTCTCATGTTTGTCTATTTTATTCAGCATTTCTGTATATTTGTATATGTATATGTGTGGGTCTGTTGTACTTCTGCTCACTATGTTGTGAAGACCATATATGCACAAGGACTGTTTTGAAACTTTGTTCAGTAATAGCTCAGTCTAGGTGCAGTGGCTCATGCCTGTAATCCCAGCACTTTGGGAGGCCAAGGCAGGCGGATCACCTGAGGTCAGGAGTTGAAGACCAGCCTGGCCAACATGGCAAAATTTCGTATGTACTAAAAATACAAAAATTAGCTGGGCGTAGTGGGACACACCTGTAATCCCAGCTACTCAAGAGGCTGAGGCAGGAGCATTTCTTGAACCCTGCAGGTGGAGGTTGCTTTGAGCTGAGATCACAGCCCTGCACTCTAGCCTGGGCAACAGAGCAAGACTCAGTCTCAGAACAAAACAAAACTCAATTACTAAGTTAAAAATCTTTAATACTGGTGCTTAAAGGTGAATAATACTGTATTTATCTTCATGTGTCTATGATTTTTAAAAGTCTCAGAAATATACCACCTGTAACTTTGTTCTTTGTATAATCATTATAGTCACAGTACATTTCATGATCTTTTATTTTTTTTTTTGAGACGGGGTCTTGCTCTGTCGCTAGGCTGGAGTGCAGTGACACAATCTCAGCTCACTGCAGCCTCTACCTCCTGAGTTCAAGCGATTCTTCTGCCTCAGCCTCCCGAGTAGCTAGGACCACAGGTGCATGCCACCATGCCCGGCTAATTTTTGTATTTTTAGTAAAGATGGGGTTTCACCATGTTGGCCAGGATGGTCTCAATCTCTTGACCTTGTGATCTACCCGCCTTGGCCTGCCAAAGTGCTGGGATTACAGGCATGAGCCACCGCGACCGGCCTATTTCATAATCTTTTACCATATATCAATTTAGAAGTACATAGTGTATTTTATTTACAGAATTTAGACATAGAGACTAATATAATTGGTAACAATTTTAACATGGCTTTAGCAACTACTCTTTCTTTTAGTCTCCTTTTTGCATGAATTACTCTCTTTCCCTGCCCTATTGTTGGTTCCAGATTCTTATGTTACTCCACTGCAGATTAGCATCAGTAGAAAGGATAAGGGAGAGGAAGAATGGTAGAATGGAAACCCACTGAAGAAATTCAAGAAGAAAGGGAAGAAGGAAAATAATGGGTGAAGGGAAGGCTAAAAGGTCTTACTCCAGCACTCTGTTCTCTTCCAGGTCTCTTATATTACTCCTTTAGACTCTGTCTTTATTCCTCATCTTCGCACTTATGCCTCTGCGTTTCCACCCTCTCTTTCTATTGGACACTTTCTTTCTTACACCATGGTAGCTATCACTAGTGTCTTGCAATCTGTGTTCCTACCACCTGGCCAGTAGTTGTGGGGAGGAAGGAGGTTGGATGGGAGAATTGAAGGGACTCTGTTTTTGGATCTTGGGCTACATAGAGCAGGGAGAAAGATGGACCTTGCAAGGTATACTTGGCATTTTGCATTGGAACTTTGAGTTCTTTTTCTTCTAGAATTATTCATTTATCTGTTCATTAAACGGTATACAAGGAACCCCAGGCAGTGTGTTAGGAACCCAGATAGAAATATACTTTCTTCTTTTCAGTTTCAAAAAGATCTTTTTTATATAACTTAGAATTATTTCATTTTTGGATCTCTTTAATTTCAGCATCTGTGTTTATTTCAAAGCTTTTGGGAATAAAGAGGCAACTTGTTATATTGGAAAGGCTTTTGGAGCCTGATAGATCTGAGTTTTAATCCTGTCTTTGCCAATTATTAGGTATGTAATGTTCAGCAATTTATATTATCTTTCTAAACCTTTTTTTTTTCATCTGTAAAATGGGAAGTTCTTGGTATGGTACTTAGCTTAGATGGCTCCCAATAAAATAATGCCTGCTAAGATTGTTATTATCACACAGAAAGTTTGTTCTTAGTACTAAATCTTTTTTTTTTTTGGCCAAGAAGCACTTTTAAAAATGGAGTACATTGGGCCGGGCGCGGTGGCTCACGCCTGTAATCCCAGCACTTTGGGAGGCTGAGGCAGGTGGATCACAAGGTCAAGAGGTCGAGACCATCCTGGTCAACATGGTGAAACCCCGTCTCTACTAAAAATACAAAAAGTTAGCTGGGCACGGTGGGACCTGAGGAGAGGAGAGGAGACAGGTCTAAACTTCTCTTAGAGGTAGCAGAATATATAATTGCTCTAATCATTAAAAAATGTTAACTTACCTGTTAAAAATATTAATACAGTTACATCTGAATTCCTTTAATGAAATTCAAAGCCTTTTCCATTTTCTTGCTCTTATTTCTTTGCATTTCTTCTCACAATTCTGAACCATGGATTATTTACCATTAGCATCCCAAATTCACTCCTTGCCTCTCTTCTTTTGCTTATCTTGTTCCCTTTTGCCTGGAGTATCTACACGCTGTCAAACCCAGACAAAGGAGCAAGATTCTATTTAGTCTTCAAGGTTTAATTTATATGTTATCTCCTTTGTGTGAAGCATTAGTATCCATATAATTAGTGTTCTATTACCACTAATTCTGAAGCACTTAAAACTTTCACATTATTAAATTTTGTGTCTGCATATATGCATACTTGTCTTTGAATGAAGACTGAGAGCTTCTTGATGGAAAGTACTGTGTTGTAATCAGCTTTTTAAAAACTCGAGTTATTGTCACCATGCTTTGTATACTGTAGACATTTGCTAAAGCATTTTAAAAGAATGAATGAGTGTGAAAGAAATATGAATTTACTTGGTGGGGATTGCTGAAGAGCTGTCTGGTGCCATGAAATGTGCTTTTACTTTTAGACCTTTGTGTTAAAATATACATTTAATGCTTAGAGAATGTTAACACTGGTCTCATTTTTACATCCCTTTGCTTTGCATTCTTTCCTATGTTATTTGGAGTTTAAACATACATTTCTTTCCAAAAATGTAATTTATATGTAAGAAATAAAAGAATATATTGTTTTCTTAGGGAAATTAAATCTATTCTCATATAGTTTGGGATTTTAAAATATTTTGAGTTTTTAAATCATAATTTGAATTTTTTTGTAAATAAACTTATTTATATCTAATTTTTGATATTACTCTTTCGTTTCAGCTAAACCATTTACTTCTAAAGTGAAACAAATGAGATTACATAGAGAAGACTTTGAAATATTAAAGGTGATTGGTCGAGGAGCTTTTGGGGAGGTAAGAGATTAAGATTTGATCTGCTAATTGTTTGGAAGCTGTTGAACACCATTGTGAGATAATTTAACAAGTATTCTTACTTTTTATTTGTTAAACAATATTTGTTAAGTTGTAATTGATGTGATTGTGCTGTTGTGATTGATATGATTGCTCAGAAAATAAAGTGTTGAATGAAATATTTCTATTTGGAATTTTTTTCTAATTCATGTTTTCACATGTACTTCAGATATCAGTGAAAATATGGGTGTGTTTCTAGATTCTCTTTTGTTCTGTTGGTTTATTTATTTGTCTTATTCTAGTTTATAAGGAATCTTGATACCTGATAGTATATATACTCTGACTTCCTTTTTCTCCCCCTCAACTCTTCTCCCCTGATATTTTCATAGTATTTTATTTTATGTATGTACGTATGTAGTATGTATGACTGTCTGTACGTATGTATTTATTTATTTTTGAGACAGAGTCTCCCACTGTTGCTTAGGCTGGAGTGTGGTGGCATGATCTCGGCTCACTGCAACCTCTGCCTCCGATTCAAGAGATTCTCCTGCCTCAACCTTCTGAGTAGCTAGGATTACAGGCGTCCGTCACCATGCCTAGCTAATTTTTGTATTGTTAGTGGAACGAGGTTTCACTATGTTGGTCAGGCTGGTCCCGAACCCCTGACCTCAAATGATCTGCCCACCTTGGCCTCCCAAAGGATATTTTCATCATATTTTAGAATCAGTTTTTCGATTTTGACTCACTTGTAAATATACAGATTTGCATGCGCATGCGCTTGCTGCATGCTCTCTCTCTCTCGCGCATGCGCGCGTTCCCTCCCCCCTCCCCCTCCCTCCTCCCCCTCCCTCCTCCCCTCCAGGAATTTGGAGTAAGTTTCTATTGAAACTGGAGATCAGTTAGTAGCTAACTGACATCTCAACAATACTGAGTCAGCTCATCGATACACATAGTATATTATTTCATTTATTTAGGACTATAAATTTCTCTCAATACCATTCTGTAGTTTTCCTTCAGTATAGGAGACCTCCACATCTGATATTATTTTAGTTAGAATTCTTTGTGAAATTTCATTTCCTAATTGTTTTCTTGGTAGTAGTTAGAAGTAGAATTTAATTTTGTTTATTGACCTTATACCCAACAACCTTATTATACTTTTAAAATCAGGAATTTTGTTGAATTTCATCAATAGTTTATCTGCATCTTTTGGGACACTCATGTTTTTTTTTTTTTTGTTTGTTAATGTGTAGAATTATGCTGCTATATTTTCAGATGTTAAACAATCTTTGCATTCCCTAAAATAAGCCCAGTTGGCTTGTGATGTGTTACCCCTTTATATGTACCAATGGGCTTCGTGTGCTTTTATTTTGTGTGTGTTTTAGGATATTTGTATCTATGTTCTTGAGATAAATTGGCCTATAATTTTCCTACTTCTAATGTTCTGATCAGATTTTGGTATCTTGGTTATGCTCGTCTTACAAGAAGAGGAAAATGTTCCCTCCTTTACTGTTCTCCAGAAGAGTTAATGAAGATTGTTATTTTTTTTCTTCATATGCTTACAAGATTTAACTGGTGAAGCCATCTGAGACCAAAGGTTGCTAGTGAAAAAGTTTAAAATAATATGTTTAATTTCTTTAATGGAGATAAAATTACTTGTTCTGTGTATGAATTAGTTTGGCTAGGTTCATCCATTTCATCTGATTTTTAAAACTTATTACTGGACTGATCATTTCTCTAATTGTTTAATTTTTTTTACTAGGGATTTATCAGTTTATTATCTTTTCCATGAATTAACTTTTGGCCTTTTGAATTTTGTTATTGTAGATTTGTTTTCTGTTTCTTTGATTTCTGCACTTTATAATGTTTTCTTTGGTTTTAACTTGCTACTCTTTTTCTAATTTTTTGAAATAGCATTGATATCTAGCCCTTCTTTTCAAATCTGTGTTTAAGGCTGTATGTTTTCCTGTAAGCAGCTTTAGCTATAGCAAACATATTTTGATATGTCATTTATATATATTTTGCTCAAAATACAGTATGAGTTTATATTTCTATTTTTTGATCCATGAATTTAAATTTCTAAGCATTTAAAAAATTTCTAAACATTTAGAAAATTTTCTAAGTTTTTAATTGATTTATAATGTAATTTAGAAGTGGTTAAAAGACATACTGTATGTGATTAGAATCCTTTGAAATTTGTTGTGCAGTGCTCTGTAAATATCAGTTAGGTCAAGTTCAAAATCTAGTTTAAGTCCACCACATTCTTACTTTCTTTTTTTTTTTCAGCTTGATCTATCATTTCTTGAGAGAGGATGTCTTCATTTCTTTCAGTTGTTGCTGATAACAAATGTACAGTTATTATATCTTCCTGCTGATTAACTCATTCATCATTATGGAATGTTCCTATTATCTCTGTAGTGTTTTGTGATTTAAATTTTTAAAAATCTGGTCTGAGTAGAACTACTCCAGCTCTTTTTTATTCGTATTTTCATTAAATATCTTACTCTGTCCTTTTAGTTTCAGTTTTCTATACATATATGGTATGCTTGCTGTTCAGTAGGTTTTGATTTTTAGTCAGTTGACATGTAATCTTATTATATTATTTACTACTTTTTTATATTAGTTTTGCTCATTTTGTGTTATTTTTCTCTCATTTCTTGCTTTTTATTGGATTAATGGAATATTTTAAATTATCCCTCTCAATGAATTTCTTAATTTTATCTTCTTTTATGGGTTACCCTGGAGATTACCACATGTATCCTTGGTAAATTTATATTTTGCCAATTCCCAATTATCCTATTTTCTTTCTTTTTTTTTTTGGTCATTGCTGTCACGTATTTTAGTTCCATAGATATTTGAAATCCCAACAGATTTAGTGTACCTATTCATGTAGATTTACCCACGTATTTATATTTTCTCTGCTCTTCACATTCATGTACTTCCCTTGGGATCATTATCCTTTTGACTTGACAATTCCCTTTAGTATTTCTTTTTTATATTTAGAGACAAAGTTTTGCTTTGCTTCTCAGGCTGTAGTACAGTAGTGTGATTATAGCTCACTGCAGCCTTGAATTCCTGGACTCAAGTGATCCTCCTACCTCAGCATTCTGGGTAGCTAAAACTATAGATGTGCCCAGCATGGTGGGCTAATTTGTAAATTTTCTTGTAGTGATGGGGTCTTGCTGCATTGCCCAGGCTGGTCTTAAACTCTAGGCTCAAGCAGTCCTCCTGCCTCAGCCTCCCAAATTGCTGGGATTATAGGTGTGAGCCCTGTGCCTGGCCCCCTTAATATTTCTTCAGTGTAAGTCTGTTGATGACAAATTATCTGATTTTTTTTGTCTGAAAATATATTTATTGAGATCCTAAAATTAAAAAAAAAAATTGAAGTATATTGTGGTATACACACACACACACACACACACACACACACACACACACACTTTAAAAAAATAATACCCATCTATAACTTGATGGATTTTTACGTTTTTTTTTTTTTTTAGGGTACAAAACAAGCAGTAGCATTCTTATTTTATTTTTTATTTTTTTATTTGAGTTGGAGTTTGCTCTTGCTACCCAGGCTAGAGTGCAATGGCATGATCCTGACTCACTGCAACCTCCACCACCTGGGTTTAAGTGATTCTCCTGCCTCAGCCTCCCAAGTAGCTGGGAGTACAGGTGCTTACTACCACGCCTGGCTAATTTTTGTATTTTTGTAGAGACAGGGTTTCACCATGTTGGCCAGGCTGGTCTCGAACTCCTGACCTTGGTTGATCCACCCACCTCAGCCTCCCAAAGTGCTTGGATTAACAGGTGTAAGCCACCATGCCTGACCTTACTTATTTTTAAAAATTTTGTGGATACATACTAGGTTTATATATTGTGGAGTCCATGAGATATTTTGGTACAGGCATGCAGTGCTTAATAATTACATCATGGAAAATTGAATATCCACGTGATTTCAAAATGGAAATTCAAGCATTTATCCTTTGTGTTACAGAAAATCCAATTCTACTCATTTAGTTATTTCAAAAGGGACAATTAAATTATTGTTGGTCCTTTGTGTTACAGAAAATCCAATTGTACTATTTTAGTTGTTTCAGAATGGACAATTAAATTATTATTCACTGTAGTTCCCTTGTTTTGCTACCAAATAGTAGGTCTTAGTTATTCTATTTTTTTTTTTGTACCTGTTGATTATCTCCATCTCCTCCTCTTTCTACACATTCTCACCAGCATTTGTTATTGCCTGACATTTGGATAAAAGTCATTTTAACTTAGGTGAGATGATCCCTCATTGTAGTTTTGATTTGCATTTCTCTCATGATCAGTGATGTTGAGCACTTTGTTCATATGCTTGTTTGCCACTTGTGTGTCTTTTTGAAAGAAAGGTCATTCAAATCTTTAGCCCATTTTAAAAATTGGATTATCAGATTGTTTCCTATAGAGTTGATTGAATTCCTTATATATTCTGGTTGTTAATCCCTTGTGAGATGAGTAGTTTGCAAATATTTTCTCCCATTCTGTGGGTTGTCTCTTCACTTCGCTGATTATTTCCTTTGCTGTGCAGAAGGTTTTAAACTTGATGTCATTTTATTTATCCATTTTTGCTTTGGTTTTCTGTGCTTCAGAATATTACTTAAGAAATTTTTGTGCAGATCAGTGTCCTGGAGATTTTCACCAATGTTTTCTTTTAGTAGCTTTATACTTTGAGGTATTAGACTTAAGTCTTTAATACATTTTGGGAGTACAGGTGCTCACTATATAAGGTTAGAGGTAGGGATCAAGTTTCCTTCTACTGCATATAGATAATCTGGTTTTCCCAGCAACATTTACTGAAGAAACTGTCTTTTCCCTAATGTTCTTGTCATCCTTGTTGAAAATTAGTTCACCATAGGTATGTAGATTTGCTTCTGGGTTTTTTATTCTGTTTCATTAATCTGTGTCTCTGTTTTTATATCAGTGCCTTGCTGGTTTGGTTACTATAGCTCTGTAGTATAATTTGAAGT